TTAGGACTCAAGTTTCTTTTCTACTGAAGTGTCTCATATGGGCTGGAATCTCAAATCCTCAAGTCTGGTTCTCTAATGGCCCACTCATGACCAGTCAATATTTTATCAATATGGACCATGGTGCAGAGTTTTACTATGCCTTTAGGACCAGATTAACAAAAAAAGAAGAAAACCAGCAAAAAATAGGTTGTTTACCGGTCTTAAGGTCAGTCCATAAGGGGAAAAACCATGCCCTTGGTCTTGATTAAGGCTCTTAGCACTTTTACCTCAGGCCAAGACCTAGGGAACAGTTTTTTCACATAAGGACTCACTGCCCAACAAATAACATATATATACTTGTGGGCGGGAGGCACAGTGAGGGGAAAAGCAACTTGCACAAAAACACAACATAATAACCTGATCTGGGCTCTAAGCATGACCAACTTTTTATCCATACTCCACAGTGCACCCATCCTACTTAATATGTATTATATTTTATTTCAAATAGCAATAAAATTAAAAAAAACTATCATTTAAGAAAACAGTTAAATTTATAAAAGAATTATGGAATGAACACTGGAACAACAAACAAAGGAATGGAAGAGTGAATGAATGAGTGATTAAACAAATGAACACATGAACAAACAGAACGATTGAATGAGTTGTTCAGCCAACAAATTAAAATTACCTTACCGAAAAAAAGCCCACTAGGAATGCCTGGCACTCCAATCACATAGCTCAGAGGATTTTTACTCCAGAATGTCTCATCATTTCCATATGTTGCATTTAGTAATGTATCATTCCTTGCACACTCACGATAACTGTTACTAGCTAATAACTTGTTACCCAACAAACAGATCCTGCAAAGATAAAGAGATTTTAATCTTCAGCATCTGGAAAATTCAGAATCTAAATTTGATTTACAGACTCTGTAGATTGAGGGAAAGAAAGGTATAGACCTTAACCAGCTGGCCAGTCATGCAAATGTTTGAAGAAATCTTATTGCCATGGAAATTTTTTATTGAACAAGATTTTTTCCAAAGTGACTGGAGTAAAACTGGTGAGAATATGCAAATCAAATGCAAGTTTCATGGAAATCAAAAGCCCTGATACAAAGAGGGGTTTAAATAAAAAAAAAAACTGTACTACTTATTTTAGCCCAGGACTAGCTCCATACTTACAGATTTTGTTAACTTTGTTATCAAACCACTATGAATAAAACTGGCCAACTCAGCACCCAAGGAAAGCTTCACTGAATGATGACAACACATTTTTCCTCACCTGGGCATTTCTCGAGCATGTGCAGAAAAGAATCCAAGGTAGATGGCCAAGATGGAAAACAACACACAGGCCAGAAACAGAGAGGCACATTTGTTGACATACTTGACGCCAATAAAAACCACTGCAATAAGTAAAACCAACAAGATGGAGCCATACACCCTCATGTTGTTTAGCATCACTGGAGACTGTGCACCACCTCCTGATCTCACATCTCCAAAGAGAGACATTGATGGAGCCATATATGTCTACAGAGAAAAATAGCAACAACATGGACTTGTATTTGGAGTAGTGATTCCTTAATTACATTATCTACAGATTTAAGTTATAACCCAAAACATTGAGTGGAACCAGCTCACATTTGCAACTCTTGTGTCATAATTAATGCTTTAATCACAGTTTGGGTTTCTTTGGACACTGCTTTCCCTATCTTACAACTAGGAAACTCAGATCTTTATTAATAACTGAGACAAATTGAAGAAAAAGGAAGAAATTAAGAAGAGACCTTTTTAGTTCATCTGGTCTCTCCTTCCAAGAAAATCTCCAGGGTCTATTTTAATGCTACAAGATATAAAACTCTGTTTTGTAAAGCTCTCAAAAGATCTGTGTTTGCATACATGAACCCAAAGAGAGTCAAATTTTTGGCAGTGAAGATGTTTTGACAATTTTGTCAAGTTGGATATTTACTGACTATATTAACAGTGTCTAGAAACTTACCAGAAGTATTTCTATAGCACCAAGGATGTACATTGAGGAAGCAAAAGTGGTTCCCAGATAAAACAGAAGCCCAACAGCTCCACCAAATTCAGGACCAAGAGCACGTGAAATCATAAAATAAGCTCCCCCAGCTGAAAATTATGAAATTAATAAAAAACCTTCACATCTTATTTCTTTCAATTAATTTTGTGACAAGTAGATAAATTTCATAAGTTGATTACTGGGTTCTCTTAATACAGGTTTCCCTCAGGCTATACATTCAATAATCTCAGGGCAGATTTGAAATAGGTTAGGAAACATTTTACCTGGAACAACTCCATTTGTAGCTATGGCACTCATTGAGATGGCTGTCAACATCGTCTACAAAGCAAAAGTGTTGTACCTAATTTATTACAAGTTAAAGAAAATAATAAATGTAATCAACATACATAAAAACTTGAAAGCCAACAACTTAAGAAAAGTTGGGAAACAATCTTTACTACCTCCTGCAAGAATGACTTTGATTCTTAACTAAAGCATCTTCACTTATGGTAATCAACATCTTCAATTATTTAACCAAGACTGTTTAACACACTTCTCATATGAGATAAACTTGCCTTGTAAATAGTAGGCTAGAACCTCAAATCAAAAAAGCCTTAAGGGGTATTAATTAGTGGCTTTTGGAAATTACATTTGTACATCTAAATGTAAAGTTTATTTTTTTGGCTTTGGCATCATCATCCAATCCCCACAACATGCTATCTTTGTTTTCATCATATCAGAGCTTGGATCAGCTTCAATTTAGCATCCATCTTTCAAGTTCCTCAAAAATTTTATTCAGAAGTAAATCTAAACCATACTTATCTTTTCTCTCTTTTAGATTTGTTTACCCTAGCAAGAAAAATCTTTACAACAATGTTCAAAATTCACTTCATTAAGAAAATAGAGGAGAAGGCATGGTTCCTTAACCCTTTAACTCCCAGAAGTGATTCACATGTAACTTCTCCCTCTAATATTGATATACTATCCAGCAAACAGGTAATGAGAATACTCAAATGTATCAGGTAGAAGCTGTTATCTAGATCTAACACCAAATTCTCGTAACTAATTTACTAGGAAATGTGTAACATCTTTGGAGTTAAAGGGATAAGGATTACTGCTTACACAACAGCAGCAAATGAACACAATGAAAAATGCTTGAAATGTTCCTGCTATTCCTACTATCCAAGATAAACGGATGAACAGGATAACACCAAAAATGTTCTGAATGGTTGGTAGGTACACACCCATAAGTGTACCCATCTTTGTGACCTGCAAAATTTGAGCCATGTTTCAGAAGATATAGTCCAAGTTTCAGGAGAAAGCTAAGCTATTAATCATCACCTATCACTGACTGCTAATCAAACACTTTTAGATATATCTGATTCTTAGTAATGCAACCAGTACTGTAATATCAACAAATAATTTATACCTTAAAATGATAATCCCCTATGTTTTTAAGCTTGAACTTGAGTTAAAAAATGAAGAAGGGAATGTTTTGGATTGGTTGTCTCAAGTAGACTCCTAGATCCTGGGTAATGTGGAAGAGCTGGCATACATAGGAATGCCTAACAGACTGATAACAAACTTCTATAGCTGCCAGGTTCCACAGAGGACAATAAAATCGATTTCTATAAGTGGTTCACAGTAAAGGAACACCCTAACCCATGACCCCAGATAGCCGGTGAAGAAGTCATTAGGGACCTTAAGCAGTCAGGAGAGCAATGCTGAGCAAAATGTGGATTAAAAAATAAATTTGTATTATTGGATTTCACCAATGTCTGGATGTTTACCATCCTAAACCTAGCTTCAGTGTAATGGATATGAGCAGCATTGAGTTCTGAAGAGGAACTTTAATAATTTGCTGTCAGGGTTTCTGCTCTCAGACTGTGCAAATTTTGGTGATTTTGCTTTATTGTTTAGCTGAGGACAACAAAGTTGCTCAGCTATTATTCTGCCTGTTAGATCTTTTGTTTTGGTACATCCTCACTGCTGTCACTGTTGTGGTTTGCTTAAGGTCCCTAATTAAAACTCTGGGGAGGTTAGTGGTTTTACAGGATAATACTTTTAATTATAAGGTAGCCATCAGACCACAAAGAATCTTTTTGAAGTGGTTGAGCTCAGAAGGATGTAAGGTTCTATAATTCATGTCACTTTCCCTCCCCATTTGATGATTTAATGATATATTTGAAAAAATGATGATAGTTAAAATTACGTTAAAAAAAACAAAACAAAACAAAACAAACCTATTGGAGCCAATAAGTAAAACATTGAATGCCCCCCCTAGTTCGAATAATCGTATACCCCACTGATACCAAAGTTATTGTTGAGTACTCTGAGATGAAGCTAGAAAAACAATCCTGGATTTACTTCAGACTCTTGATGGAAATTCCCCATTAGGTAAATAGGTAAAATTTCAGATCGCAGAACTTTCCAAGCGTGAAATGATCATATACCAAATGAAAACCCAAGTGCTACAGTACAGTAAGGACCGAATCACTCCTCTTCACTTTTATTCACATTCCACTTTCACTCCGCAAATTTAATCCCTTATTGCATTAAGAATATGTTCATGAATAAAGCCGCAATGTGTCGTAGAAAATGTCTAAGACCGTTACAGTTGATTCAAATTATGTTAGACTCCCGCAGATGCGCTTTAAATAATGAAAATAGGATTATTTTCTGTTGCAGTATGTTTACATCTGTCAAAACAGTGAGACAAAACATGGCGGTTTAAGTTCATTGTGTTTTATTTAGAAGGTCGAGAGTCTTTGACCTCCTTCAATTTCAATAAATTCGGATTATGTACTTAAAACAAAAAATGATTCAAACTTTCGACCGATCAAAACAAAGTTTAGTATAAATAATTTAGTACGCTTCCAAAGCCAAAACGAATTTGCATAAACTGTTAAGGACTCACTGATTAGTAAGTAATTGGCCATTCAACGTAGCAGTAACACGCTTTGTTCGAAATATTTTTATATGAATATCGTACCTGACTAGTCGTAGCCGCTTTCGCTTCTCCTTCATCGTCATCTTGTTGCGGAGATGCAACAGCTTCGTACCTCGACAAACTATCTAAAAGCGTCGAAATCCTTGGTCGTTTGTGAAGCTCATCCTGTGCGCACAAGGAGATAAAAGATCAGAAAAGTAGGTGTTTAAAATGATCAGCAAGCACACGGTGCGAGAATAATGAAGTCAGAACAAAAACAATTTTCGGTTCAGTCAAAGAAAGCCTACTACAGTTACCTCGTACAATGCTAAATTTCCAGCCTTTCCGGTCAAAATGCTTGATTTCTTCCTATCTTTTCTCTCGGGGGCTGTGAGTGAAAAATTAAATACGCACGTTTCGTTTGCGTGCGGTAAAACATCAAGTTCGACTGATATTTATCTAGATTTCCTTTGCTAGATTTCGGTTCTCTAAAAAGTTCCAGGGTTCAATTGAAAGGCAAAGGTTTTAAAAAAATTAACCTAAACCAGTGAAGTGTGAAAAAAACATTGTAAAGTTAGTATGACACACGTGGTCATTCAATCGGTTTGCACCCTCTCTTGGCGCAAAAAAAAAATCCTTACACGGTTCGATGATATTCACTTCAATATCTGTTGACAGATTCACCCGTCGGAAAGTCTCTTTTGTATTTTCTGCCCCATCAGCATTGGCCTTTGATACTTTAAACCGATGTTGGGACATTTTCTACGTAAAAACTAATACATAAACATTATGTCAACAAACATGAGGTTCAACTCCAATGAATCAAACACAGCCCATCGGTTTACATGGGAGATAGTTAGCGTGGGGGGTGGGGTTGGGTAACAGGTGCACTGCTAATCAAAGAAAGGAACGGAACATTATTTTTCTTGATGGGGGTATAAGAAATATTGAAAAATCATTTTTAGCAGGGTCTGAAAAGACAAAATAGATTGTTGCAAACGTGATAGGGTAGAAAAAATGTTTGCAAAAAAGTCAGGTAAAAATTAAAAAATATTATTACCAAAACCGAAATTAAAAAATAAAGTAACAAATTAAAGCATTAGTATAAAAATTAACACAATTTGGTTACTCTGTATTAAGCAAATAAAAAATCTGAAAATAGCTGAATATTTCTTGAAAAAATGGGAATATATTCTGGCAATTAAATCTCGTTAAACGTTACTTGTCAACACTTTGTCCTACTACAAAACTTCATTTATCAGGTATTTTCCCAAAACTGTATTAAACAAATCATATTCTTTAATCTTGGCTATATTTATCATTGCTACTTTCAAGTTATTTGAAGTGACCTATGGCAAAGGCAATCATTTTAAATCAGCAATGTGCCTGCCTTCGCCCTTGGTACCACAGGCCGGGTGGTACGAGTATAACGGCCTGTGGAAACATTAGGGACCTTAAGCAAACCACGACGGCGACGGCAACAAGGACGTGGAAAAACAAAAGATCTAATTGGCAGAACAATAGCTCAGCACGTGCGTTTTAAAACTTTGTACATTTCTTTGCCGTCCTATGCAAAACAAGAACGTGAAATCACCACAATTTGCGTCATCTGCGAACCGAAACCGCGACGGCAAATTTTTGTGATTTCCAGTTGGAGCTCAACGCTTCTTTTATACGTTATGCTGAAGTTGAGGTGTGGCGCTGTATGAGACGGTAAACACATGCCGCTATTTTTTAAATTCTAATTAAAGGCAGAAATTTATTTTTTAATCGAGGTCTTCCTTAGCGTTGCCGTCCTGACTGCTTAAGGTCCCTATTATCAAAGAGTATCAGGACTTCGGTACTGTGGAATCGCGAAAAACGCCTGCTACTTCCTTTTCCTACTTCCCTTTGTTTGCCCTTTGTTTGCGTCAGTAGCTGCCAAAAAAATTTAAATGGTGATTGGAGCGTATATCGACAAAATAAGTGGCTATAGAACTATTGATTACGTTCTTCGTAGAATAGTTTAATAAGGTAATGGTAATATTTAGCAAAAATAAAAGGAACGCTGAGAAAAAAATGGAAAAAATTGTGGTTTGCACTAAGATGATGTTGGAAAAAAAATGTTTGCGGAGACTTATACGTTTAAAAAAAATCACGGTTTGCATAAGAAAATTTCTCACACCCCCCTTCAGAAAAATGATGGTCCGTCCCTAACTCTTTTTTCGCTTAAAAATTAATTCCGTCAGTGTGCATGCATCGTCTGATCAGATTTTTTGTTTGTTTGTTTCATTCAGGCCAGTGGATAGAGCTGAAGTCATTAACGAAACACTGACAATTAACAGCGTGACAATGAGGAACATACATCCGTAGGGCAAAGAATATTCTGAAATTAGCAGCAGCAGTGGTAATATTTAGCAGCAGACACAGTTCAGCTCTTTTCTTGGTCTGCGGTTTAAAGCTCCACCCCGCTAAATGTCTCTGGATAGATGTGTAAAATGAAAAACAAACCTTGTGATGTTGTCTTGATTTCTCTCGCATGTAATAAATGAAGCAACGATTAGGACGGTAAGTAAAGCAAATGAACAGAAATTTAAAAAATTAATGAACGCAAAGAAGAAACTTTTTTTAGTGACATGAAGAATAGAAATAAAGGGCTTAAAACAAAGGTTAAAACATACGTTTGACCTCTTTTAAGGTAATAATAAACTTCCCGTCATACTCAAACACCAACTTACTGCATGCGAAGGGAATATCATCTTTCTGTGCGCGCTAAATATTGCAGCGTCAGGAAATTGTTGTTGTGACGCTTGGAAAACTTGGAACAGAGAACTTTAAATTTGTCTCCAGTTTCTAGAAGAATTTTTGAGCTCATGTATATATGATAGCACTAAATAATGTTCCCCTTGGCTATACTCAAACCGGCACGAACTTTCTGCAGGCGATGAACTTATAGTCTGTGTGAGCGAATAATGTCGCATCAGAGAATTGTTTCTGATACGTGTAAAACAGAGAACTCTAATTTTCTGGTCTGAGGAGATAGGTTTGCATTCATTTCAGATAATATTGAATAAACTTCACGTCTTACTAGAACACGAACTCTTTGCAAGTTGAAGACGTCATTGTTTTTCGACGCACAAAATACTACAGCACTAACGGAAGTCAATGTAAGCGACTTTGCGTCCTCAGTGATAAAAATATCGGTGAGCTCAATTTCCTACGACAGTTAAACTCTACCTGAGCCCAAGAGAACCCTTTGCAGGAAACTGATCAGGTCAGGTAAAAGCCTCCCTCTAAATCTGCTCGATTCCCAAAAATTTTTTATGAAGTTTGTAAAGATGAAAGAAACAGAGACAGCAGACAAGCAGAGAAACAGTAGACAGACACTAGACCGCCTGTCTTCCGGGTCAGGCTTGCTTCTGTTTCTTTTGTGTTTTATCGCGCTAATTCACCACCAACTCAGGATACAAGAAAATCATCGTCTGATATTAGACTCGTCAGAGTTATTTAACAAGCTGGAGACAGAAATCTTTCGAAAAATTCAGCAAAATGATATGAGATGGCGCAATAAAGAGGAGGAACCGGGGAGTACATGGCGAACGACTCAAGGTAACTTGGTATTCTTTTATTTCATTACTGGATGATGTATGTTTTGATAACTCTACCAATGTATACAAAGGTCGTTGAAAAGATCAACAGCTTTTTTATCACAAAGTGCGACAATTGTTAATACAAAGTGCGACGGGTGTTTCAAAGTGCGACCAAGGCATTATAAATTGTTGATGCGACACAACAGCTGTTAATACTGATGCAGTGTATCTATGTGTTCCGAGAAAAAAAAACTGCGCGGCTCCTTGGAGAATGTTTCAAAAAATTAAATTTAGAAAACTCGACTTTATTGCTTTATTATTATTGTTATCAATGTTATTTGATTTTTGAGTTCTATGTTTTGCGTATTTACATAAACTTAAGTATCGAGACTACATATTTCAGACTGGGATAATTGACCTTAACCTATCATCAGGAGTAATTCTGTTTGGTAATTGGCGAAGCAAGCAAGGCCGACTTTTAAAAAATTGAAGTCTTCTATTTTTTAGATGGAAAGGAAGCTAACCCAAAACGACCAAAACGCTCTTCACCTGATGATTCACAGCAAAATTCAACCATAACATCTTCTGATGTACAAATGCTGGTCAAACAAGAACTACGTCTGCTGCAAAACCAAGTCTGTGCTAAAGATTACACTTTTTGTCGCCCCGGACCTAAGGGAAGCCAAGGGAGGCGGGGTAAACAGGGTAGACAGGGAACCCGTGGGAAACGGGGCTCCCCAGGGAAACCTGGCCCATATGGACCCCCTGGTAATCGTGGACCAGTAGGAGCTCAAGGACCGAAAGGAATGAAGGGGGACATCGGGAAACCGGGAGACCCCGGAACCCAGGGACCGTCAGGTCCGTCCGGTGTGAAAGGTACCAAAGGTGAGCCAGGCCAGTCGCTTTCAGCGCCATCTCTATCAGAGCGTCCTGTCGGAATAACAGTCAATGAAACTCAGACGGCCACGTTGAAATGCACGGTTAATGGTGACCCAAAGCCATCAGTCACGTGGTACAAGATGAATTTGTCCCTTCCAGCTGGACGTCACCTGTTAGAGACCAGCGGCGCTCTAGTAGTGAAAAACGTGAAAGCTGAGGACGATGGAGTTTACACCTGCAAAGCGCAAAATCTGCTGGGACAAGTGAACGCCTCAGCGAAACTGACCGTTCAAAGTAAGCTATTTTGCTCTATTCAGTGGCGGATCTAGGGCCCCCCTTATTTTGGGTAAAAAAAAAGAAGAATAACAAAAGCGCCGATAAGGCAGGCGACGCAAAATAAATAAAATAAATTAGAAAAAGGAAATATCAATTGAAAAATTTTTTGTTATATCATTTACAGTCGCTCCTGAGATCATTTTGTCATCTAACGAAGAGTTGGCTGAGGAAGAACAAAATGTCACCATCGGCTGCGGTGCTACTGGTCAGCCTCAGCCTAGAATCACGTGGTCAAAGGCGTTTGGAACCTTGCCAATGGATAGAGCTGAAGTCATTGAAGGAACACCAACAATTTATAGCGTGAAAAAGAAGGACAAAGGAACATACATCTGTAGGGCGGAGAATATTCTTGGATCAGCAACAGGCACATTTCACCTCATGGTATTTTCTCGTTTGAGGTTTAAAGTTCGACCCCCAAAAGAAATGACTCCTATGGCTGGCTCAACTGTTCACCTACCGTGTGTGGTCGAGAGTGACTTGAAAACTACAATCACTTGGACGAAGCGTGGCAGTTCGTCCTTACCTGCAGGGTCCAATGTTCTACAGAATGGAACACTGGTAATAAACAGCATCAAGAAATCACACGAAGGATCTTACACTTGTAGTGCAGCTAATGCTCTGACAACAGTAGAAAGCAAAGTAAAAGTTATCAATCCACGGAATATAACTTCTTGTTCTGTGATTCGAAAATATGTCAGTATTACAAGTGGAAATTACGTCATTGATCCCGACGGTGGGGGTCCTCGTCCACCTTTTACAGTTTACTGTGATATGAGTGACAAGAATGGAGTTGGCGTGACAGTTATCAGTCACGACAGCGAAAGTAGAACACATGTGAAGGGATATGAAAGCCCGGGCAGTTACTCACGTGATATTCATTACACCGGAGCGAGTCTTTCTCAGCTGGCGAGTCTCACCAGAGTCTCATCTCACTGCGAACAGTTTATCAGTTATGAGTGCCGTTATTCACAGTTCTTCAGAGGTAGTTTTGGATGGTGGGTGTCACGGGATTCGATCAAAATGAATTACTGGGGAGGAGCGTCACCCGGCAGTGGTACGTGCGCATGCGGGATGACCAGCTCATGTCCATACCCTGCTAATATGTGTAATTGTGACAAGGAAGACGGCATACTGCGTGAGGATAGCGGTCTCCTTACTGACAAGACACATCTTCCGGTTAAACAGCTGAGGTTTGGTGATACAGGCCATGCTAACGAGGAAGGATATCATACGCTCGGAAAACTTAAGTGTTATGGCATACAGTAATGTTAGTCACAAATGATCTCATATGGACAGGTATCACGCAGAAGACATGATTTGAACATTCATCAGCTCTTAACTAACAGTTTATCCAAGATGAAAAAGTGCAGTTACGTGAAGACTAGAGTAACTCTTTTCATAAAGAATGAAACATAGCATGACAGTAGTTGGCCTGCTGTTTATTCCATCCTAATGTCTGATGAAGTAAATTCTAATGTGACTTCGTTGTTGACGTCTTAGTGGTATCAACATGCGTAGAAAACTTTTTTTGAATCCCAAACGCTTTACAAATCAACTGATCACTTCCACGCTGTAAATGTCAAATCAATGGCTCTACTTATGCGCCGATCATTTCGAAGCTTCAAAATCCCCCCCTGGGCAACCCACGGGCATGTGGCTGTCGTCTATGTCCGGGGGTGGGGTATTGGAACCTTGCCTGGGTGGGTGGGGAATTTTAACCAGAAGTCTTAAGTCTTACCAGCGGTACACGGGTGCTGCATCTTTTAATATGAAGGTGTTAAAGGTAAAGAGTTCTCCTTCGCGAGAAGATGGCTCGGAAAAATCAAATTGGTCTACAAGGTCTTGGATAGTCAAACGATAGTCAAACGTCTCATAAAGTCGACACCTGTACTTCATTATGATGCTCTTCCTGGTCCA